ATGAAAGATAAGAAGGTAAGACATTGGCTTGGTCAAGGAACCATAGGTGGCCAACACTTGTCACCACCAAAACCAACTAAAATTTTGTTTTCTTTTCCTTGCATTTTGGGTCAAATATTTCGGCTATAAGGGCTAAGGATGAGGGAGATATTTTGCAACAATATCAAGGATATGTGGTGGTAGGGAAATGGTAGTCAAATAGTGTGTTCAATCGGTAGTGATCAATACCCGTCGGTTTTAGCCATTTTTCCTTAAATCGCGTATACTAGGGTTTTAACTTATAATTCACTAACTTATTATTACCACTTCTAATCACACACTTAATATTATCTAAAACTCACTCTTAACCACCAAATTTGATCCACACTCCGTACCGAATAGTCACACTACGAAAAAAGTAAAAACCCTAATTCGCTCTAACTTGAAAACGGACAACGAAAATCCTTACTTCTATATTCATTTACACTTGTTGTGGGGTGATTGGGTAGTAAGGCTATTATAAAGTAATAATTTCCAAATAAAAGGGGATTTTAAGAAAAAATATAAGAAAATTTTTCTAGTCGTCACACTCTCTCCCTCTTAAAGAAATTTCGTCCTCGAAATTTTTTTTTCAAAAGGTGATTTAGTATGTAACACAGTAAATTAACTAAAACAACAAGTTATCACGCACCAAATACACAAGGAGACATATACACAATATAATGCACCATATACACCAAGAGACATTTCAAGTTAGAAAAGTCAAGTGCAGCAAGTACTATATATGTAGGTATTAACATGCCACAAGTAAATGACATGTAGGAACAACGCAAGGGCAAAACGAAAGAAAACGCGACTTGTCGTCCCACACTCTGTGAAAATCACCCCCGTCCGATTTCTTACTCCACTTCTCAAGGTGCCCGTTGATCTCTAGTACTCATTCTAGCCAAACAAAAGCCTGTTCATGTTCCCAAAATGCAAGTCTGAAGTACTTAGCGGCACTTCAGCTCTGGAGTACTCAGGCACGAGAATCCGAAATAAGATAATTCACATCTCGAGCTAGTCAGTCCCAAGAGTAAACTATCTACAATCGAAATTCCTACCTGACGTACCTATCTATGGTCCTCAGATACCATGAGAAAGATTTAAGGCCTATAACATTTATGATTCATAGCTTATGCTCGAACGAGCATTTAGTCCTTCATACTTATTCATCACTTAATCCAAGCTCACTCCGCGCAGAGACCACGCGAAGCAGACTCTGATACCAACTGTGACGCCCCACTTCTCCCAAGGGCAAACCCGATGGTATCGGCGGGATGCCTGCCTTGCTCGCGCCAGGACTCGATACTCTAAAACTAGAAAATAGATTCACGCCAAAAGAAAGTTCTGTTTAAACGATTACAGCTTCCAAAGTTGCATAAACTAGTACATCAAGTCATACATACCACGAGTACCAGAAAGTAAACCCTAGAAAAGCTGATAACTACAACCATCACGACAACTATACATATTACTCGTCAACTTATAACAAGTACAAGTTCAACTCATCTATAATCAAAACACTAAACACCTTCCCGAGCGATCCCCACGTCGACCCGCTGCTAAGGAAAACAAATAGAATGGGGTAAGTTATATGCTTAGTGAATAATCAGGGGTAAAAATGTAAAATCACATAATTAAACAAGTAAATCGGGATATTTCACATCAATAACAGAAAAGTAACATCACAATGGTAGGATACGGGTGGCTCCAAAACCAGTTTAATTCTCCGAGCTTGAATGCCTGTTGACACTCCAACCAAAGTACTCATGGTCCGTCGACTCCACTTAATTTTTCCCGTTCACCTTATCAACCCCCGCTGGCCAGTCAACAGCACACAGCAGCTCGAGCGAAACAAAATAACTTAGATTTCGTCAAAGCTTTAACAAAGAACTAAATCCCAAGTTTAGCATGGAACTATCTTCGACCAAACTCCCGCTGGCTCGAATAGTTCGTCTACCCTTGGAACCGGGTTGGAACCAAACCCTGAGATATCTGATCTCTCAATAGATGGTGTAACGCCTCCACTTCTCCCAAAGGCGAATCCAAGGGTATCTGCGGGACGCTTGCCCAACTCTCGCCAGGACTCGGTACAAATTCAATTTAAACTTAAGAATAACCAAGTAGTGCTAAAAGTCGAAAATATAAAGAATGGTCAATTCCTTAATAATCGATCAAGTCTTACATCATAAGTTACCAAAATATCCTACAATCCCAAAATATACAGTTTCCAAAAGTTGCCTAAACAAATACATTTAAAATTCTAATAAAAAGCCATCAAGTCGACCTCTCCATAATTCCTTCCATTTCAACTCCTGTTAAAGAATGCAAGTCTAACGGGGTGAGCGGATGCTCGTAAGGCCAAGAAAACATGCAACAGACATAATACAAATAGCAGTAGCACTTACTCAAGAATGAAAGCTATAACATTCAGGTGATAAACAATTTATAATAAAATACCCTTGAGTAGGATATAGGAGCTCTCATGAGCTAATTCCTATTTGCTTTGCCAAAGTTCAATCCAATACCTCCTTATGATGACATTCCGTCACCCGATTAGGTAATCAAGTCCGTAGAATTTCACTTTTCCAATTATGGTTTTGAGTCGACATGAGAGGTACCTCTCACCCGAATCGGTGTGGTACATACTATCGCTCAGTAGTCGATTATACATTTATGGTTCTGAGTCGAATGAGAGGTACCTCCCACCCGAATCGGTGTGGTACATGCTATCGCTCAGTGGTCGATGAGACATCGCTCCAATCGACTTAGGCTTTGCTTATAGTTCTGAATCGAACGAGAGGTACCTCCCACCCAAATCAGTGTGGTACATACCATCGCCCAGTAGTCGATAAGACATCGCTCCAATCGACTTAGAAAGGTTTGTGGTTTTGAGACGACATGAGAGGTACCTCCCACCCGAATCGGTGTGGTACATACTATCACTCAGAGAACCGATCATTTATTTAGGGTTTTGAGCCGACATGAGAGGTACCTCCCACCCGAATCAGTGTGGTATATGCTATCGTTCAGAGACCCGATTATACGATTATAATTGTAAGGGTTCATGATATTCAGTCCAAGCAACAAATACCGTTATAGGCCAATCAGCACACTCCAATCGGCAGTCATACAGTTCAATTATAAATCGAGAAGATTCACTCCAACGACATATACAGCCATAGCATATAATGCAATACAATTTAGGCAATTCAATTACAATTTATTTTATTGAGAATGCATTCGATAAAGTACACACTCGACTCAGCAGTTATAACCCATCACTTCCATATTGAGCAATTCACATAATTTTCAAATATTCATGCACTTGACACTCACCAAATAAACAAAAAAGAAATGTCACTTGACTTTCAGGTGTCCACCGTGAAATCCTCTTGAAGGTTCTCGTGCGAGCCTGAGCAATTAATAGTGAATTATCATTTATATACCCCAATTATCACGAATGATTGTACACTTGTATCATCCAAGAAAATCTCACGAAAGCGAGCCTAAATTACTCACGAATCAAGACTAAAAACTGAGATTTTTAAAATACAAGAGAAATCTAGTTTTCATCTTTGAAATCAAGTGTAAAACATTCATGGGATATCGAGGGAAAAAGGAGAAGTCGAAAAACTCCATTTCCTTATGTTTCGAAAATTTCAGTTTTGATACAAGATCTTTGAAAAATCGTATCTCACTCATTACAAGTCTAAAATTGGAAAACTTGGTACCGTTGGAAACTTCTTCCAAAGTACTAAAACTTCCTAGAAGACACTTTTCCATGATTCTAAATGTATGACATTCGAAATGTGGCTCAAAGTGGCTATTTTGGGCCATTCAGACAGTTTTGGGTTGATTTTCGACAAAGTTTGGAAATTCGGCAAAATTCATTCAACACGAACTAGCCTCTCCAATTTGGAACTCAATTAGATTTACAATCAAAGTTTAAAACACAATAAGCAGAACAGGAATCAGAGTTTTGAGTATTGAGAGACATCAGTCCAAAATTGGTCACATTTCGCAAACTATTCAGTCATTTTCCAGATTTAAAGACTATCTTGGAAATATCATTTGGCCATTGATTTGGCATTAGAAATACACCAAAATTGGTACACTAAATCCTCCATGTGTGAACAACCTTTCTACCAAGTTTCATGTAAAAATTCCCACGGGAAGGCAGTCGTTAAAACTAGGGTGCAAACGAGCCGAGTCGAGTTGAGTTTTTAACTTATCGAGTCGAGTTAGGCTTATTTATATGCGAGCTCGAGTTCGTCGAGCTCGAAAAATGAAGCTCGAGCTCGACTCGATATAGACAAAGGGGCACTCGAGATCGACTCGATTATAGCTCGCGAGCTTAGCTCGATTTTGGCTCGCGAGCAGCTCGCCACATTAGCTCAAATTTTGCTCGATTTTTCGGCTCGTGATGAGCTCGAAATTAGCTGACTTTCTCAAAATTTAGGCAAAAAATAGAATTTTTGTCCGCATATTTTTGGTAAAATTTAAGAATAATAACAGCAATTTTCACATAATCTTGATTTGAGAGGTACAAATTATCCACTAATATAATCATAAACATATAATATATAAAAATCTAAATGTTCAACATTTGAAATTTTTAGTTACCAACAAATTTCAAATATAAATTGTGTCTTCAGCAATTCATCGTCAAGCCAAGCTGTAATTATGCTCTTCAACTCTAATTACATTAAGAAGCAAGAGAAACCAGCAAATGAGCTATTCAAAAAGAAAAAAAGAAAGAAAGAAAAATAGCAGCCAAAAAAATGTCAAAAAATCAGCCTGTTAATTGAGAAATTGAGCACAAAAAATCAGCAAAAATATAGCTTTAACACAGCTAAAAATAAGCCATAAAAAGGGGCCAAAGAACAACCAAAAATTGCCATATCCAAATTAGCTAAAAATCCGTCTTTGTCAAAAAAAACATGAACGCTCTATGAAAGTGCTCATCATTCTCCATCCTCTGCAAGTGTATCGTCACTGCTACAAACTCTCCATAGTCCAGAACTCCATTTCCATCAATATCAGCCTCAAGATGGGTTCCCCAGTCAATGTATCTGCTTCAAGCCCCTAAGTTGGACCACCGTAGAAGAAAAAACAAAAGAACATCATGGGGGTCCACAACTACCTCTTTTGCAATAGATCTAAAGCTTTGAATGATAAAGCTTTGAAAGGATGGATCTACCGAGCAGGGGAAGAAAGCAAGAAAGCTATTATCCATAGGTCTAAAGCTTTGAAAGGAGGGGGCTGCCAAGCTGGGGAAGAAAGAAAACGGAAAAGGAAAAGGAAGAGAAGCTGAGTACATACCTGCAAAAGCTGGGTGGAGCTGGTGGAGGTGGAGCTGCCGGAAGTGGGAATTTGGAGTTTGGGAGTTGGGAATCGGCAGGAGTCGACAGAGGAAGTGAGGATTTGGGAATTAGGTAAATCGACGGAGAAAATGAGAAATAGTCATAAACTTGTAAATTTTAATTGATATAGGGGTTTTTCTATAATTTCACAGTTATTCGAGCCTATCGAGCCTATGAAATAAAGACTCGTGCTCAGCTCGTTTATATTAACTAGCGGCTCGAACTCGACTCGAGCTCGGTCAACACGAGCTCGAGCCGAGCTTTCACCCGAGCTGCTCGCGAGCAGCTCGGATCGTCAGCAGGCCTAGTTAAAACAACCAAAGTTCAAGAAATACTTCAAGGCTAATCTGTCTTCTCACTTTTCTTTTGCTTGCAAAAGTTTTGTGCAATGAAATCAGTTCTAAATCACTCCATTTTCGAAACCAAGAGTCCATAAACATCCACTAAGTAATTTAAAAGTAATGAACATCACAACTTTCAAAATATAACTCCCCAAATCAGATTTGACCATTTGGTCAAGAGAAAAGGAAAAAGTTTTCCAGATTTCAAAAGCAAAGTTTGGGACATCTGTTGGGCATCAAGAAGGACTTGGAATGACATCAAACTTGGCGGCATCATACTACCATATGAGGGCTATTCCACTGTAAAATTTCATAGATAAATAAGCACCGGAAGTTGGTTAACCAAACAACCAAAGTTTCGAAAAATCCTAAGGCAAAACTGCCTTGAACTTTTTTGTTTTCCATTCCAAACATTTGGCCAAGGAAAATCCTTCAAACATGATTTATTCGGGTAGGAAAAGCCTAAGGAACATTCATGGTACATTTGGTAAGTGTTTTAACTCAAAGAAATTCAATTGGCAAGTCCACACCAAGTCTAGCTTCAATTCTGCCCAAAGTTTAGGGTTTTCAAGAACAGGGTAGGTTTTGTATTCTGATGACTAATCACTCAATTTAACTCGGAATTGAGCATGGTTGGTGGTGTTGGAAAATACATTCATAAAACTATAATTTCATAGAAGAAATTGTTCGGAATTTCAGCACACAAATAGCTCAAATTCGAGCCTCAATTTGTAGCTTCTGAACTTCGTTCCAGGAAAACAGAGAAACAAGACAGTCAACTTTAAATGGTTGGTACGGGATACTCTGGTGGAATTAGGGGTTGAGTTTCATACCGTTGGAAAACTGGGAATGTCTAGTTTCAAATGCCATAGACAGCACTTGATTTTGACATCGGAGCACAGATTTATGGATGAAACAAGAAGGCTATTTGAGCATTACGGGAAATTTTTCCAGGTTTGCTAGCTTTGTGAGATTAATCCATTTGACCAACCAAACCTCAATATTTTTTGATGAAACTTTATACACCATCTATACAACATATAAACATCATATACAAGCCATTAAAACCTCAAAATTCAGCAAAAAGAGGCACGATCATAACAGGGGCAGAATTGGAAACTTTACATCCATGCACTCCTTGTAGTTTATACTAGCTATGCACCATTAATCTACCAATATCAGCACAAAACCAACATTAAATCCATCATCAAGCATCACATCAGCCATCAATCCAAGAGTGGGTGTTCATAGAGCCCGCATTCAAAAGTTTCCAACAATAACAAGCCACCCACATGAATATCTAAGTTCATAAGTGTAAATCAATTTCCGTAGGCCAAGAATTTGAGGGTTGATCGTCACTTGTGCTGGTGAACAAGGGTAGAATTCGGCCCACTCTTAGCTCAAAAAAAAAGTGAAAAGCTCCCCCTTTTTGTAGCTTAAGATGATCTCCAAGTATTAAGTTAAGTGTGTGTGAAATTTGGAAAGAATTGGAGATAGATGATTTGTGTAAGATTTAGAGATGAAAAATGAAGAACTCCTTGGGTTATTTTTGCAGCTGATGGCCGGCCACTTTGTGAGGAAGAGAGAGAGTGTTTTTGATCTAATTTGGCTTCCTAAGGAAGCTTCATTTGCGTGGCCAGAATTGGTGCAAAAGTCAACTCTTCAATAGTGCGCGTACGCGCGCGTTTTGTGCTCGATTCCTCTCGCGTTCGTTTCAGTAGTGCACTAAACCTCCAATGTACTTATATTCATACTATTATTATCCACTCTTAAAGATATAAAATGAAGGTCTATAGGCTCCCAATGAATCGTGCGCGCAAAAATGCGAATTTCCAATTTAAGCGCGATAAAGCGAAACTTCCAAGAAATTCTTATAACGATAGTACTACTAACCATCACCTGAGTACTTAAACATAAAATTACCTATTTTAGAACCAAGATACAAGTTTCCAATTTTCCAAACTTATAGTACCCTCAATCGGGTAAAATTTCCAAACACGTTTTCACTATTTTCATTAAACGAGCTTCCAAAAATTAATTTTTGAAACAAGTCACTTTAAAAATATAAGCATGTCATAGATCCTTGCAACTGGGTCTAAAGAGGATGAAATAAATTGTTTAGAGAAAACGGGTGGCTAAATAATTAATTGAGCCATTAAAATAAGATTAAAATAAGAAAAAAAATTCGAGTCCTCACAGATGGTATCTCTCAACAAAGTACACAACAAAGTACTTACTCCAAACAGCACATAACAAATGGGGTTCAATTCAAGTCATGTAATCACCCCCATCAGCACACAGCAAAAGGGTGATACTCAAGTCATGTAATAACCCTCATCAACACACAGCAAAAGGGTGATATTCAACATAAGGCACGTATTCTCACATAGGAAGTCAAAACAAAGGATGGGTTTAGGTCGAGTGAGAAAAAGTACACCCTCGCCTAAGTACCCATTTAACATATACAAAGCACTTTAACAATTCCACATCAATAACAACCCAATTACTCACTTGATAAAGCTTGGCACGAAAAACGATACAATTCACTGAGTTTGACCGTCACCGTCAAATGCCCCACAATTTGTGTTGACAGATTATATACACACATAAGTGAAACGGCCATACAATAGCAGTTTATAACTTAAACGATCGAATACGGTCGAAAACGGTTAAAAATAATAAAAAAGGTAAAAAATGACGTTAAGGCCAAAAGAATGTCGAAATTGGCCGAAACGGCTGGAATGGTAACAAAATAACAAAAATAATTTTAAACGGTCCAAAATGGCAAAAACGTTTGAGAAATGCAAGGGCGCATGCGCGGAAATGAAAATGTTACAAAATGAGTTACACGATTTTTGGCCGTAACTGGAACTGTGGTTATCGAATCAAAACGTACTAGGTAGTGTTTCAAAACTTAAACAAAAGGTTACAACTTCCATGAAGACACCTCGACCCAGTTTTTAGTGTATTCCAGTCACATTTGTAAAATATAGAACTAGAACTCCAAAGGCTAGGTTAGTCCTCTAGTGAAACTTTGGCGGCATGTCCCTTGTGTTTACCCATTTTCCAGCCATTTATGGCTTCAATATTTTCCTCCAACAGTCCCAAAGTCACACATAAAATAACCTTATTTTAATAGCCATTCAATAGGCTCAAAGTCATACAAATAAAAAATTAAACTAGGTATATGTCCGGAAATGAAATGTAAGGCATAAATCAAAATATAGATTTGCAGTCACTTAGCGTAACGAGCACAACCGAAGCTAAACTTATCGGATTTATGTACAATTGATACCGTTTTGAAGCTAAGACAAAGGCCTACAACTTTGATGAAGATCACTCAGTCTAGTTTGTAGCGTAGCTAGGTCAAAGTCTCAAATAACAGAACTAGAATCTCACATTCAGGCTTGTTAACTGCCTTAGGCGTAAATGATAATAACTCAGGCTACCGAAATCCGATTAAGACGTTTTCAAGGGCATTGGAAAGCTAATATATAGTACTACAACTTTCATGTTTTGGCTAAATACTAGTTCAGTGCGTATCAAGGTGAAAAGACACGATCAGATTGATGAAATGTCAAAACTGTCCATTGGGATAACCTATTGTAGTCAGGGGTATTTTTATCTTTTCACAGGAAACATTTCTCCGATTCAGCTGAAATTTAGTATGTAAACATAAAATGTCATTTTCTACAACTTTCATGTTTTGTGCTAAGCCTAATTCAGCCTCTAACATAATGAACTGGAACCGGGCAGAACTGAAGCAACAATTTCCAGAAATCTGGAATTTTGTTGTATTCAAGCTATAATTCACATTTCTACCTTAAAACCCCCCTACTTTCTCCTTTACAAGATTATATACCATATAACACCTAACCAAAAGGAATTATAAGTAAATCAATCAAAACTCTAACTTAAAATTCATCACTCCAATCATTAAAACCACTTGAAATAGGCATCACAAGCACAATTCTAAACTTAATACCCAACTTAATCATGAGTAATGGAGAAAGAAAGGGTGATCAACCATTATACCTCAAGACAAGAGATTGCAAGAGTGATCCTCCACTTCTCCTTGAAATTTTTGGTTCCTTAAGCTTCCCAAACTTCCAAACTAGTGATTAATCGGTTTAGTTTTTCTTGTTTGCAAGCAAAAGGTTGGATTCAAGGTTGAAAATTGAAAACTCTTTTCACTCTTTTGCCTCTCCTTGCTCTCGGCCAAAACAGAAAAAAAATGGCAAAGAATGAACTCAAATGAAAGATAAGAATGGAAGACATTGGCTTGGTCAAGGAACCATAGGTGGCCAACACTTGTCACCACCAAAACCAACTAAAATTTTGTTTTCTTTTCCTTGCATTTTGGGTCAAATATTTTGGCTATAAGGGCTGAGGATGAGGGAGATATTTTGCAACAGTATCAAGGATATGTGGTGGTAGGGAAATGGTAGTCAAGTGGTGTGTTCAATCGGTACTGATCGATACCCGTCGGTTTTAGCCGTTTTTCCTTAAATCGCGTATACTAGGGTTTTAACTTATAATTCACTAAGTTATTATTACCACTTCTAATCACACACTTAATATTTTCTAAAACTCACTCTTAATGACCAAATTTGATCCACACTCCGTATCGAATAGTCACACTATGGAA